ATGACAGTAAATATTCTTATTTAAATAAAGTCTCGCATTTAATGCTCGTTCGCGATAAAAAAAAAAAAAAAAAAAAAAAATAAGTATTATATATATTATTAGTATTTCAAATTAATAATATAAATAATTTTAATATAAAGTTTGTTTTTTGAATTAAAAAATAACTTGTTAAAAAAATATATATTTATTTAATAAAATTTGTATAGTAATAAAAAGTAAAAATAAAAAAAATTCCAAGGAAGAATTATAAAAAAAATAACTATTATAAAATTTTTCTTATACAAATTTTTTAAAAAACAGGGTTTTTAAACTTGCTTTTTCTTAATTAAAATTCTATTTTAATATATCAATATATATTTTTGATTTTTTAAGGCTTTTGTAATAAAAATAAAAAAAGTATAAAGAACTTTTGAATATTAAAAAATAAAGAAAAAATATTTTTTTAATTTTGAAAAAAATTATATATTTTTTAGTATTATATATAAAACAGAATTTTTTATTTATAGTTTTAATGATTTTAATAATTATATTATAATAAATTTCAATTATTAATTTAATTTATCAATTAATATATAAATATATTTTTATTTTTTAAAAATATAATTATTAATTAATTTTTAATATTTAATAAATTTGTTTTGTTTTGTAATCAATAATAATAATAATTAATTTTAAAATTTCTATTTGTATTTATAAATTAAAATTTTATATTTACTTTTGTACTATAAAAAATTTACAAATTATAAATTATAAAAAAATTTTTTTTTAATTTTATTGAATTAAGTTTATTATAATACTTTAATATTAATAATTTTTTATCTACATTCAATATATAACATAATAAATTATTTCTTATAACAAACCAGGTATATGCACGTTTTCAAAAAAAAAAATCAATAAATAAATATGTTTATATAAAATAAATATTGTTCAATTTATAATAAATGTATTATATAAAAGAAATTAAAATTTATGTAATTTATTTTATATATAGTTTGAATTAATTTTAACAAAAACCTGGCATTGATCGCTTTTTATCTTAAAAAAAATTTTTTTAAGGTAATTTTTCCATATTTATGTTTTAAATTATAAATAATGTTAAACGTTATTTGTTTCTACAGCATAGATAAACCCCTTTTGTTATAAAAATTTTTTTAATTCTTGCTTAAAATACAGTACTTCAGTATCAAAATAAATAATAACGCGAGTGATGTGCTTACGTAAATAAATGTGGAGACATACAGTTTAATTGGTATGCAGTAAATATTTGTGCTCCATAATTGGATCGTTGTTAATGAATCGAAAAACAAGATATGCATACATACAGTTAGTTTATTTTATAGAACTGGAAAGTCTCAAAAATTCCTTTTATTAAAATCTTTTTCAGGTCAGAACGTACAATCTAAAGATGGGCTTCGAAGATGATCAGAAAATGAAGAATGCATTTACAGTATATTGTTAACTAACAACTTTATCAGTATTATACTGATCCGTTGAATTTTATACCTTGATATGCTCTTCCGTACATAAGGTAACACCACGATATTGTGGCTTTGTACAAAAGTGCTTGTTAAGCGAAAGGCGACCGTTTGTACACCACGCCAGGAGTTTAGAACGAATATGGAATTGCCTAGTGGTGACACAATATAATTCTGGCGGCAATTATCCACGAGGCAGAGCATGTTTGTTTGCTCTATGGTGAGTGAGTGTTGATCTCTCATTCTATCCAGCCTCGTGAGACATTTAGGAATAAAGATAATCTTATGAGCAATTAAAGCTTCCATTTATAAAGTACACATCCGCTCAGTATATCATTGTCGTGAGAAAGAAACTTTGCCTTTCATAGTAAGTTTGATCTGTGGAAATAATTTCACTATAAAATTTCCGAAATCTCTTATTCTAGACATCGCCAAATTTACAACACATTATTAAATCAATTATTTGTTTTTCATTTGTTATACTCATTATCTCTGGTTCATCATAAATATTGACATGATACTTAGGTCTTTGTGCGTAAAGTTCCATGCCATATACAGTATATATTCCGATTGTCCAATGGTACATATATATATACTATTAATGATAAAGGCGTAAGTTTCCCTAATTTGAAGTATTCTCGGAAGATTATGTGTGAATACTTGTCCAGTCATCATCCGCAAAACTATAAGCATGAAACGAGTTTATCCATATATTAAGAAAATGGCGCCACGAACCCTGTGAATTTTTTTTATGATGTGAGCGCAAACACTCATTATGTAATTCATAAAATCATATATGGTTTATATTTTAACTAGGTCAAAAAATAAACAGAATGGTTTCAAAGAGGAAACTCATCTGGGAATCTGGTGCATATTTAAGATATTTACTGTAAGTACAATCAGGTTCGGTATTAAAATTGAAAATCACAGTTGCATACAATCTTGTTTGTTTTTCCGAATAGGCATTGGATTTTACCCTTGCAACTATCTTATTGGTCACGCTTCTATTAACCTATCAAAGATCCCTATGTAAAATCCTTGATTAACAGATTTATGGCATCTTATTTATGTATTACTAATGATACACCGCCGAATGGCTCGCTTTTTGAAATTGTAATTAGGTGAACAATTAGTGCATACATATGTATATATACTATATTCAAACTTAAATCAACCATTTCACCTTTTTTCTTTTTGTTTGTCATCCTTCTTTTCGTGGCTGCTTTGGTCATTCTCTCCCACTGATATCACAAAATAAAGCTGCACTCATTTAAAATTTCTTCCTTCCGAATTAGCTTTACAAAAATATGATGTCAACAATCATTTCGATTTTTTGTCATTCCTTTATACACAAACAGATTGTTATCATAATATTCCATCTTTTCTTTCCACTATTTAAACTTTATGACATCTGTGATAAGATACGAGATGTTAAATATCATAAATTACCACCTTCCACTTTGATCGAATATCAATCATCCTCTCCAGTTTCGTGCACACAGAACAGCTGTCCTCAACAAATACCAAAAGATCAATGTAATCCAAATACTTCGTCATTTCGTGAGCATATAGGATGTATTTCCGGAGCTGATGATGTAAGTTTGGTCGATGATGAATTTACTTCACCAATATCACAAGAACGTGTATCAGAATCTTTACAGTGGACACAGCAAGCGGTGCATGTTTCATCGGAAGCATTGAAATTTGATATTTCAAGTGAAATAGAACTACACCAAAGTACTCCTTCCATTGCTACACTGGGAGTAGTGTCGGATTTTTCAACAGTAGACGCAAATTTATCCAGGAAAATTGTGATTACACCGATTGAATGCATTGTTGATGTTTCGGATGCTTCGGAAATTTTATGTCTCAAATCTTTAGTTCCAACGGATGATCAACATGTTCTTGACGACGATGAACAACGTGAAATGCATTCTTCCTTAAAAGAGTGGCACGGCTCATGTGGTAAAGTCGAACTAGTTCTTGAATCACAAGAACTCGTTACAAATGATTTACCCCAAGAAATGTTGAATTATGAAAAAATTCCACGTGACCCTTCTCTTGAGTCACTAGTGGAAGAGCCCTCGCTGTTTCCTGTAATACCCTCGTCCACAGTAATTGAAGAAACGAAAAATTCCGGTGAAATATACCCATTGAACGACTCTTCATATATACATGAAGATATTAACAATCTGAAACGTAACTCTGCTTCGTTTGGGGATCTTCCCGTTGATGTATTCATTGAAATTTGTTATCATCTTCCTCCTACCTCTCTCTTTGCCCTTATTGGCGTCAACAAAAAATTTCGAAATTGGTTGAAATCTACCACCTCTCATATTACCACGGACATTTGGAGAATTTCAAGAATAAAGTTCATTACCTACTTACCGAGGCCGCCACCGGCCGGAATCGATGAGATTACATATATCAGGTTGGCGATGCTGGAAAAAGGATGTCAATTTTGCGGTACAAAATCCATGACGCCTAAAGTATATTGGGCCTTCCGCGTGAGATCTTGTGAAACATGCCTTAGGAAAAGGACTACCACGTAATTTTTATCTTCATACGTTTTATTGTTTATTTTATTTTATTTTGTCGATTTCAATACTAATCTTAGCATTATATAAATTGAAGTCCGGAGAACCTTCCACAATGGGCAAAATCTCCAATTGACATTTCAACGATCGTACCTTACGAAAAAGTTTCCGTTCCCAATTCCAACACCGGTGCAAAAATGGTGACCTACATGAACTCCCAGCTAGAGGCGGCTCACCGAGAGTTCGCCTCTACCCCGCCCAAACACCGAACCAATTGGGTTCTCAAGAAAAAATCTTGGGTTTCTCAAGTTCTGACAAATGTTCAAAAACGCGAAAGACTTGATGAATTGTATTGTAAGAAAAAATCATCGGAAGATTCGAAGACATTCAAAGCATTAGTCGAAGAATTCAGAAACATAAAGGACGAGAAAGGTCAAAAAAGATATCACGAAAAATACATGGTTCAATTGCCTTCTTATATTGAAGCTAAGGAGGCCTATAAAGCTCCGTTCATGATTAACCCCTGGCCAACATTTATTGCCAGAATGAAATCTGAATATTCGGATTTAATGAAGAAAACAGTAAGACTTGAACAAATTACTAACAGGATTCTGTCATTAGTAACTTCGCACGACACTCTTGCCGCGGATTTGAAGGTACCCCCGGAAAATGGATATCAAATCTATATATCAGATCCTATCATAGATTGTCTTCAATGGTGCCCTTCGTTCCGCAATCCGCCGTTTGTAAATAACGACCCGTTGATCCCATGGATGGATGAATTTATAGTTCAAACCCTAATCCCAAAACTTCGCAGAGAAGCGAGAAGAGTAATTAAACAATCACAAATTAACCGCCCAGGACCTTTTAATACCGTCAAGGGATGTCTCAATTTAGTTAAGAAACAATTCGGTAGTGAAGATACGGAATTGTTTATGTGTAAACTTTGTTGGAAATCAAAAAGGTTATATCACTACGAAGCTATATGTAGACACCTTACAAGTGATCGCCATTCCATTGGACGAGTGGATAATGAAAGAATGATCGAGGTCAACAGGGATAGGGTTAAAAATGTTTTACCAAGTTGGTTCGCCAGCATAATTTAATCGTGAATACTTCGATCACGGCACGGACTTTTTAATGATAATACATAAAAATTATATAATGCTACCGACTTTTTATATTAATAGTATATAATGTTACGGACGGACTTTTATAATGATAATATATATAATGTTATGGACCTTTTATTTTTAGAACACGGACATTGTGGGTTTTTTACAAAGTATTAACTTTGATTTTTACAACACGGAAATTTGTAAAACATATTTTAATATCACGGACTTTTATTTCTAAAAAAAAAATAATAAAAAAAAGGAAAATAGTCTTGCAAAATGTTAATCATTAGGTGAATATTTGTTTTAAATACGGCATTGTTCGACAGGGGGTTTTATATATTTTGAATAATCAGGGGTAAATCACTTACCTAATGAGACACAAATCTTTCACTTCTTTCGTTTGTAAAACGTGACCCTTGCGCGATCACCCGCGGCAGTATATCAACGTGATGTGCTAATCTAAAATTCTATAATGTATTTTTTATTAACTTTTATTTCAAATATAAAAGTTTTTAATTAAATAATTATCTTACTACTATACAAAACATTTCTTTACTTAGACAATTATTTTTTAGAAAATAACTTTAGCAACTTATATAAACAATTTCTAATAAAAGACCTAAATCAAACAATCTTAGTTTTTAGTAAAGAGTTTTAAAACAATCAAATAA